AGCTCGTTTGGAGAAGACAGGGAGCAGGACATTACAGTAGCACTTCCTAACCTACTGGAGACAAACACATGGATAAATCTCTCCAAATCTGCTTTAGACATTATATCTTAAGAAAATAAAAGCAGTTTTCAGTCTCTGCTTGGTATTGGTTGGTATCAGGAATCAGCCATAGTATCAGAAACAGTATCAGAACGGAAAAAGCTGGATCAGTGCTAATTTAGAAGAAGACCTAAGAATCTGCTAAATGTATTAATAAGTTAGCAGTGTATAAAGCCAAATAAAGGGAATGAGAAAAAATGAATGAAATGTACATCTGGAAGCAGAGGGTGGTCGAGCTCAATTAGCAATTTATTGGAGTGAAAAAGTACTTTGGAGAAAAAAAAGTTATTCAGTAGCTTAATTAAACTTTTGAATAGGTCAAACAGTGCTTAGACCTGATACTTACTACTTCCATCTCTTCTTTTCACCAAAACTTTTTGTGACATTTTAAAGCTCTTTTTTTGTGATTTGAATATATATTGGTGTTACAAATCCCAAAGTAATTTAAAAGTGTCTTAAAATATTGTTAAGTTTAGCCGTTGTAGCCTCTGTGGTGCTGCTTCCTGTAGTCCCTGTTGTAGCATCGGAGCGCGTCTAATCTCTTACGTAACTCAGGCTATTCACCTCAGCCTGGTTCTTCGTTAGGTGTAATTCAATAGCAACACAACAACACAGAAAACATACGGGCTTTTAGCAGCTTTTGAATGGGCAGATTAAACTGAAGGTGAGAAGTTTTGAGTGTCAGAGTCACTGTTAGTCAGAGGCTTTTCAGTTGTACTTGTTTTCATTTGTTCAAGCTGATATTTGAACTATCACCTAAAAAAAAAAAAAAAAAAAACTCATCTCGCACTCCATTGTGGTACAGGGTCAAGTAAAATGAATCACTGATTTTGTCTTTTGCACTTTTCTATAAGATCAGAATTTGAGTAACGATATTTTTCACAAAACTTGTAGCAGTAGTAGTTGTAGAAATTGTAGTAGTACTTGTATTTAGTAGTAGTAGTAGTAGTTGTTGTTGTACTAATAGTAGTAGTAGTAGTTGCACTTGTAGTAGTACTTGTAGTAGTAGTAGTTGTACTTGTAGTAATAGTAGTTATACTTGTAGAAGTAGTTGTACTTGTAGTAGTAGTGCTAGTACTACAAGCACAAGTACTTGTAGTAATCGTAGTTGTACTTGTAGTAATAGTAGTTGTACTTGTAGTTGTTGTACTACTACTAGTAGTAGTTGTACTAGTAGTAGTAGTAGTAGTAGCAGTGGTAGTAATAGTAGTAGTAGTTGTTGTACAGTGCTAGTAGTAGTAGTAGTGCTAGTAGTTGTAGTTGTACTTATAGTAGTAGTAGTAGAGACAGTAGTGTTAGTGGTGGTAGTAGCTTTATAAAAAGATAACCATGTTCTAATAAAGAAATTTAATCTAATTACACAATCACAAAATACCAATACTTTCCCAAATCTACAGTCAAATATATACTAGTATCGTTTATGTAATAGTACTATTTGAATTCCTTTATAGGCCATTGGAAACACAAACTTAATTAATAATGATTAATTGGTTGTGCCCCATTTTCCTTAAGGCAAAATGTACACAGTAACTATAGATTAGAATGCCATGGTACAGTGCTATAAATATACAGCTTTAAATAACACTTGATGCGATTTAGCTGTTCACTGACCCAATAAAAACAATCAATAACTCCCTCCATCATTGAAAAGCCAGAGGGGGGAGCACATTATCATAAAGCTTGCATTGCACCAGAATTAAACAATGTAGTGTTTAAAGTCAGCGCGGTAAGATTTGCGGTGTGAGCTACTTCATTAAATGTAGTGTTCCCTTTGTTCAGCAGATCCCCCGCTGTTCTCTGGAGCAGTCTCAAGGTGAGGAGCCGGGAGCAGTGGCACCAGCACTCAGCAAGACCTTCTCTGTGGGCTTTGTGTCTGCTCGAAAAGCTGGCACAGTCCTCACCATGAATCTACGGTGAAATGACCTTCACCAGTTAGTAGAGGCAGGTAGATTAGTCAAAGATTGTACTCAAGTAGAAGTACAAAGTAGAAACACAAGAAACACAAATGTTCAAATCATTTCATATTGTCAACATGAAGCTTTTGTCACTTGTTGACTTACTCACAGTAGGAAGAGTCACCAAAACTTTTACTCAAGTAAGAGTACTGTTACTACAATAAAAATTTTACCTTAGGAAAAGTAAACATTTCTTTAAAAAGTGACTCAAGTAAATGTAATTGAGTAAATGTCACCAGAGGTGGCGCTACCATTAGGCAAAATCAGACGCCCCCCAAACCTGAAGGGGCCCCCAACCAATTGCCCTCAGTGCCACTAATGGCCGAGGCCTCAGGGAAATTTGATTTTCTCTCAATATAACATTAAGTTGTTTACTAATAATAATCATATGTAATGGATGTAAACAAAAATGTAATTGTACTAGCAAAAAATAAATAAATAAATAAAATAAAACTACTTTCAATTCTGGTTATTTCCAACTTTTCCAATCCACCATAATTCAAATAAATAGAGATTCGCATGTGTCAAGAATAATGGAGAAAAAACAGACAATAAATATATTAAAAAACAAAAACAAAATAAATAAATACATTTAAATGGTGCATTACAGTGAGGGCCCTGGAACTCAAGTTCACCTAGGGCCCCCAAATTGCTAACTCCATCACTGACTGTAACTAAGTACTACACTAACATTTGGCGATTTGCAATGAATTAGTTTTATGTTAATTAGTTGGCTTATAATAACAGAGATGAAGTATTCAAATACTTTGATTTGATCAAAGTTTCTTAGAAAGTTTCAGGCTTAGTAACTACTTCATTAAATCGTTAGGAGTTAGGGTTTGGATATTAATTGAGTAGTAGCCTGAATCTTTCTCGTAAGTCTCGTTCATGCTTTATTAAGGCTAAGGCTACTCAAAGTTGTTAAAAGTGTCACCAAAAACAACTGGAGAGTAAATTTGCTCTGACTTGGACTTCCAAATGAGAATTCAGACAATGATGTACGGACTTTAACTTGGACAGTCATGTGACCCTGAGTGTTTGGACGATACCTCAGACAGACTGTGGTACCAGTCCATACTAAATTCAGACTTAAATCTAACTTTTAAACAATGACCTAAACTAATTTCAACATACTTTAAAAAAAAAAAATCTGTCCTGAGAACAACCAATTCTGTGAGCACTTTTAATCTACCCTTTTACTGTTTTATGTTATGTCTCTTTCTAACTGTTTTGTACTTTGTAATTGTTTTCTGTATCGCCTGCATATAGTCACAATAGCAGGAAATTATCATTGGCATATTTACAATGTCATTACAAATGGCCATTAATATGCGCTGTCCCTAAATTTCTTGGAATTTAGCATGGACAATAACTATTTGGTAACTGTAATTATGTTTTAGATTTAATCAAAATAATTATTCCAATGAAAATTTAGTAGCTCCGCAGCACATTAAACTCACCTTCTGTTAATTTGGACAAAATGCGGACTCTCTTTAATTATTGGTCTGTTTTCTATTCTGCAGATGTCATCCACAGTCCACTTTTACAGTAGTGTCTGAGTGCAGTGATTTTTAACTTGTGCTGATGGGTCTCAAATTGTCCGATAGAGGAGATAGATGGCCAGATGTCTTCCAAGGTCAAGGGAAAAAAGTTTGCATTTAAAAAAAAAAAAAAAACTTATATGGCTGAGCTATCAAATATAAAATTTATGGTGGTTCAAACATGTTCGGCGGTAGAGCTTCAAAGCTTGTGTGGAACATCATAAAGAGAATGTATGGTGCTGGCTACAGACTGATCATATGAGTACAGTGTATATATTATTTTAAAATGTACACAATGTTCTATAAAGTACATGGAAATTAAAATCGTAGTCTTTAAATCACTTCTTAAGAGGAAGTATTATATGTCCCTCGAGGAAATCTGTGCTTGGGGAAATTCTATTGTCTCCTTATAGGACCCTTTTAAGTACTTCCTGTTCTGGGAACGCCTGGACTGCTCTGATATACTGCAACCTCTGACCGCTCACTTGATCTGTACATGAAGTTTTCTATGTCCGATGATTGAGCTTTGATTTTTAAAGCAATATTTATACAGCTTGTTCAGAGAGTTTTTCTTCGTATGATGTTGAAGATGGGCCAAAATCAGCTTGGTTGTGTCTACAAAGATAGATCATAATGTTCCAGTTAAATCTATACTGTGTCCACTTTACAGCCTGTAAAACACAAAAACGTTTCAACAGCTACAATAAACCTTTTTCATTATATTTAGCAAACTAAATTGAGTAAGTACTTGGTAAGTAAGAATCTATAAGCTACAATATAACTGCAGGCTAGACATCAGAAAATGCACTTAGGCCTAGAGCACAGTTTAATCAATAAAGAATAATAGGCTAATAGGTCTGAAATTAATTAGGCTGTTTCCTTCAATGAACGAGACAAATTGAAGTTTCTTTTAATCTCAGAGGGGGTTACCCAAGTTTTACGCAGTAGCGCCAAAGCAGAGTAAATGTTTATCAAACCCTGAAACCATGTTCAATCATTGCCTGCATCACGTCTGTAAATGACCCGCTCCTCATTTACAATTGCACTCAGCAGCACTGATGGCACTCCCGTTTATCATCCCTAATTCATTTTCTTCGCTTCTCCACGCAGCTTTTATCATAAAATGTATTTCTTTTCGCCGTGGGAGAGTTGTAAACTAACACAGCGCGTTTCGTTTGATAGTGTGGGCTGCAGAATGCAAAGCCCTGCGCCATAAAGCAACGTTAACGAGGCTGCCAGTCTCGCACACACATTTGGCACTTGGCTCAAACCGTGCGTAATAGTGTGCGCGCGTTGTGTGTCGGAGGGGGCAGCGGAGTACAGCATGGCAGACTGCAGTAAATACAGTGAGGAGAAGGCGGGGTTTGACATGTCGGCTCTGAAAACATGCTCCGATCCAGTATTTCAGGTGCTCAAGTCACTGCTAGAGACCATTGCTGCTCACTACCGCCGCCGCGTATCAGCGAAGTGCAGCCAGAGGAGTGACTACAACACGTTTCCAAAAGCGGGATATACTCTACTGCAAGTGGACAGATAGTGCCGAAGTGTACGCTGGAGATTAAATAGAAAAACAGACGATTATTAAAAGCGTAGAAGGAGTTTGACTAGTGTGAAGATCGCACTTTTCCAGCGTATGTTTTGGTCCGGAGTGGTGGGTCTTTTTCTGAAGTGTACGTTTCTATAGTGCTGCCAGGTTCCTCCCCCCTCGAAACTCAACCAAAACTCTTTCCTTGACCACAGTAAAGGATAATTTCACTCGTGGATTTGACCAAAAGCAAGGTAAGCAACGTCTTGTACTGTTTTGTCCCTTTATGTCCTGTAAATGTGTGATCGATTGAACTTTAGAGGCAAAATCCAGTGGTGACTCCACACAGGTAAGACGGAAACCAGGTAGCGAGCTAGCTTTAGCCAAAGTTAGCCCACTTGTCAAGCCAAATCCATTTAACTCAACAAAATTACACTTATAAAGCATTTCTGATCTCACGCTGCTTCTAACTATTTTGATCTATTTAATTATCACATGTAAATGGATATCACATTTTCTGAGACAGTGTACAAAACACGCAGCTCATTAAATATTAACATATTGCGAAAATTAGCTTTACGCACTGCCTGTCACGTCGTTAAAAACGTGTAATATCCAGGTAAACAAACCCCACAGATCACGAATCATGTAGTAATTGCAATACATTTTTCGTATTCATTATCTTTATTATGTTGGATCTAATTTGTTCAACTCTTCTGATGGATAATTGAACTGTTTTGATAAACTAATGACCAACTTTGGGGAACTCAAGTGAATCTAAATGGGAGATGATACGTATATGGGTCATACACAGTATATAATGCAATAATCATGACCTAATATCTGACCTAAGGGTGAGATTACAACATGCATCATGCTTACAAGTCCTTTTTTTATTAACAATGAATAAGTTGTGGGGACGAAGGCTTCATGGAGTCACTGTGGAGGTATGCTGACCGACCAGTTATGTCACACGTCTCTCTCTGGTACCTTTTGTTTTGAACAGTTGGGCAATAGTGGCAAACTACATGTCGACCTTTTTAACATTATTAGTTTAAGTAGGATGAGCCTATAAATGACATTTGCAAAAGTTATGGTAAGCAGGAAATTACAGCATTATTCATTTAATTGTAATTGGTAAATATTCCTAAATATAGATTAATTATATGGATCATAAGCAGTTTTCTGAAGTTGTATGTCATTTTTAGGGCTGGGTATCTTTAAAAAGTTAATATGATACATAGGCTACAATACGATCCACTTTTTGATACAGTGAGCTTTTAATTCAGTACGATTCGATATTATATATTTCAAGTCGATTTGCTATGGTTCAGTGAAAAAAGTCTAAATCATGGCTGTGATACTAAAAGTCTTCTAAGTCCACTAAGTTTGTGCAAAATTAACATGAAAAACACCCATTTTACTCATCAAAACAGTGAAAATGTCAACACAATTATAGCTCAGCTTATTAAAATATACCTAAATATAGATATATTGATACAGCAGCCCACAATATCAATACTGTTTCATCAAATTAAATAATTTGCACAACCCTAGTCATTTCTAGTTCTGGTCTATTCTTCTTAGTGCAGAAGGTGGTGGTTTCAGACTTCAGTGCACAAACATAACGTATGTTACTGTAAGATGGGGTACAAAATAGGACAAAATTGTGAACTGTACTATACCTAGTGTTGTTATGATAATAACAATTCAAACTCAATTTCAAAACTAAAGAATAGACTCAATACTCGATTTTGATTTTGACACCCAAATGATCATTTTAAAAGCTCTTTTTAGACAACATTGTAATTTTCAACACAAAATAATAAGGTTTCTTTATAATCTCACATGGCTTTACAGCAGTTCTGATACAACTCAAGATGAACTCTTCAGGAAAGGTCAAATAGTATCCTTTTGGTTTTTTTTCAGATAAGAGCATATTTTCCATAGCTTTTCTATCTTATGCTACACTGTCATGAATTCTGCTGTACAAGGGGGCAGGGTCTCGGGGAATGTGCTTGCTGGCTTGTCCTCCCCAGTTGTCCAGAGTAAGAATAATGGGTGAGTCAGCGCGGTGTGGATGACCTGAGCACTTTCACAGCATTGAAACGCAGGGCTCGTGTGCTGCCCGGGAAGTGGCACAACTGGAGAGCAGGAACTAAAGTCTAACATAGGAAGTGGCCACTGCATTGTTACCGGTGAAGTTTGACATGAACGCAGTCCGCTGAGAGTTCAACTTGTGTGCGGTCAGGCTGTTTGCTTTAGGGCCTGGGTCAACATGCTACTGTGAAGTCTGGAAAGTAAATAAATCAAGATTCAAGAGTGGGAAGGACAACATGGTCTACTGCACAGTGAAAGGCGTAGGAGAGTTCTCAAGTATTTTGTTAGATACAAGTAGTTTGATAAGATGTATGCAACAACGTTAAAGTTGCACTGTAACTTTTCCAGTTGTATTGCATTGTCTGGAATGTTCACACCCTATGGTATTACACTTAACTATCTATACAGGGAAAAGCAGACTGTGTCCCCTAATCATTTTACAGGTCAGATCTGTGGAGACATGACCCTGCTTACAGTAAGAATGCATGTTTTTCAAGATTCAAGAAAAAGAAAACACCAGTAATTGAATTGATGCAAGATAGATAGAATGCTATATTGTTTATTGTGGACCCTTAACCAGAAAAGTCAGGTGATTCTTATTATTCTATATTTTTACTATTGCGAGATGAGTCCAGTTTCTCATAGATTTTGTAGTTTTCATAGTAACACACTGTGGACTGTGATAAGCAGGGAAACAAACCAGAATGTATATGTAATGTGATCATGTTTGCGTACAGTTCTGTTCTGTTCTGCTGTTGGACCTTAAGTATCTCAAAATCAAACATCTACTTTTACATTATGAGTCACACTTCTCCAGAAAGTCAAATGACTGTACCAAAACAAGCCATTTTTAGACTTAGAAATACTGTTACCAAAGCATGTGTCATTCCGTTTAGTATTTTACTCACTTTTATTACCATATAAGATGAAACAGGTGCATGGATAGGCGCAGTAGTGAACTATAAAAATCTATGACACAGTTTATGGTCAGTTAAGCTTTAAGGCGGCCTTGACCACTTCCCGAAGCTAAACTGGGCTAAGAGTGTAATTCCACCAAGAATCTAGTTCATATCTTCCCCTTTTCTGTAACTTGGCAACTGCAGCTTGACTTCATTATTCTGAATGAGAAGTTCAAGTGTCTGAATGTGGTTTAAATACTGTTGTCAAGATACTAAAAGTTACAGCTCAATTTTTACCACAGCGATTATAAAAAGGTATATTTTTAGACAATAGAGTGTAACTTTTAACACAAGATTTCTAATAATAACCTTATATATTATACATGTTTTGTTATTGGTCAAAAGACTATTCAGGAAAGGTTTTTGTCCTATTTATGTAATTTTCTTGGTACTAGTTTTGGTATTGAAATATCTTTTCTTATCAGTTTTAGTCATAAAAAGTACAGGTACAAATTAGGTCTTGCAACAGTTAATCAGAATAATCATGGTTAGTGGATTAAAATACTTGTTACTAAATTGTTATCAGATTTAAATTGCTTTTATAACAAATAGAGCTGCATTATTGATCCAAATGTCCAAAAACAAGTCTGCCCTAGTGCATATACAAAAGATTTTTTTCTCTCCAGCAAAGTGTTATTGTCTTGACACAAAAGCAGAAATTGAGGAAAGTGTAAAGTGCGCACCGCTGTGGGACTGTGAGTGTTGTTGGGTGTAATCCCCAGTAAGCAGAGCCATACATCAGCTGCGGCACCAGAACAGGGGGGAAGTCTCGGGGCTGTCACCACCAGCAGACTGCACCAGACCAACAGAAAGATCGATTCATCCGCAGCCTGAAAAAGTGCCACAAATTGCATAATAGAATGACTGTAGTTGAGACAGGCAATTTTATAACCATCCATCAACAGCTAGACTTACTCATTTGAGCAAATATCGATACTAAAAAAGTCACATCACCTGGAACATCACACAAATGAACCTGTCCTGAATAACTTTAGAATGATCTTGAAAACTAGTATTGACCACTGTGGAACCTACCTGGATGACAGATTTTTTTTTTTATTATCGTGATATTGGAACGGATATTGAGTGTCGCGTCTACTCCATATTGAAATCGAGTTTGAAAACGCTACTTGGGTGATATTTAAACATTTAAATCTCTGCATCTTTTTTGCCATTTTGTCCTTTTTTTTAAAACATTTTCACATATGATGAATGGACTGTAAAAATTAACCACCAACATTTTTTATTGATGAACCAAGGAAGATTTTAGTGATTTGAAGCACTTGCAAGTTTCCTTTTTGTCACAGTCATTTAAATTATTAGGAGAGCATTTACCCCTTAACTAGTTTTGCCAATACCATGACAGCATTGGGTTTACATGTTGTTTACAGTGAACAATATTGAACAAAAGTAACAAAGTCAAGCCTGAGCTAACTTGACTGACTGACCTTATCACAACAGATATGACCTAAATACCTTCACTCACAGTTGCAACTATAGCGCTACTTACTCCACTGCCCATCCCAAAGTCGTAATGTAGGACAGTAATCAGCTCTGTACAAACAAACCTGACGGAGCAAATGAGCTGTCGTCAGTGATAACACTCAACTACTGTGCGAAACATTCTGTAGATGGTCAAAAATGGGGCTAGTGAAATGAATGATAACAATGAAAATGGCCTTCTTGACTAATATGCACTATCCTTGAAATAAATAAAAGAAATTAATTAATACATACTAGTAAATAAATGCATACTAGTAAATAAATACACACAAAAAAGCAAAACAATGAAATGAAATGAAATTGAATTGCAGCTTAAATGGTTGCAAATAGAAATCACAAAGTTTTCAGAAGCAGCTAATGATAAAATGTGCTGCCTTTTAAAATAAACAATCAATATTTGTATTCAGTCCTATTCAAAATATACAAGTTTTACAATTACATTTTACACCTTTATAAGATTCATTGTATAGGAACACAGCCAAGTTAACTTAATGCAGAGACCAGACTATTGTTTCTCATCTTCAGAAATATTTGCACTGCAGTTCTTCGAGTCTGCAACATAAATTTTCTGCTCCGTCCCGGCAGAGAATGTGAAATTCAGCAGAAAATTTCAAACAAAAGCTTATTTACGCCCCAACGCTCTGTTTACCCCTCAGCTCGTCTACATATTGAATGAATGTGACTCAATTTGG